ATTAAAGCCCTTTCAAAACCCTACATTTTGGACTACAATGACGACCCTCTACTCCCAATAGAAGCGGAGATATCGACGGAGAAAGGTTGGAAAAACTTTAACCTTCGATATCTCCTAAACGGTTAGAGATACAGGCTTCGGACAGGTACCAAATTAAAACCCTTTCAAAACCCTACATTTTGGACTACAATGACGACCCTCTACTCCCAGTAGAACGGGAGATATCGACGGATGAAGGCTGGATATCGACGGAGAAAGGTTAGAAAACTTTAACCTTCGATATCTCCTAAACGGTTAGAGATACAGGCTTCGGACAGGTATCAAATTAAAGCCCTTTCAAAACCCTACATTTTGGACTATATGGACGACCCTCTACTCCCAGTAGAAGCGGAGATATCGACGGATGAAGGCTGGATATCGACGGAGAAAGGTTGGAAAACTTTAACCTTCGATATCTCCTAAACGGTTAGAGATACAGGCTTCGGACAGGTACCAAATTAAAGCCCTTTCAAAACCCTACATTTTGCACTACATGGACGACTCTCTACTCCCAGTAGAAGCGGAGATATCGACGGATGAAGACTGGATATCGACGGAGAAAGGTTGGAAAACTTTAACCTTCGATATCTCCTAAACGGTTAGAGATACAGGATTCGGACAGGTACCAAATTAAAGCCCTTTCAAAACCCTACATTTTGGACTACATGGACGACTCTCTACTCCCAGTAGAAGCGGAGATATCGACGGATGAAGACTGGATATCGACGGAGAAAGGTTGGAAAACTTTAACCTTCGATATCTCCTAAACGGTTAGAGATACAGGCTTCGGACAGGTACCAAATTAAAGCCCTTTCAAAACCCTACATTTTGCACTACATGGACGACTCTCTACTCCCAGTAGAAGCGGAGATATCGGCGGATGAAGGCTGGATATCGACGGAGAAAGGTTGGAAAACTTTAACCTTCGATATCTCCTAAACGGTTAGAGATACAGGCTTCGGACAGGTACCAAATTAAAGCCCTTCAAAAACCTACATTTAGGACTACATGGACGACTCTCTACTCCCAGTAGAAGCGGAGATATCGACGGATGAAGACTGGATATCGACGGAGAAAGGTTGGAAAACTTTAACCTTCGATATCTCCTAAACGGTTAGAGATACAGGCTTCGGACAGGTACCAAATTAAAACCCTTTCAAAAACCTACATTTTGGACTACATGGACGACTCTCTACTCCCAGTAGAAGCGGAGATATCGACGGATGAAGACTGGATATCGACGGAGAAAGGTTGGAAAACTTTAACCTTCGATAGCTCCTAAACGGTTAGAGATACAGGCTTCGGACAGGTACCAAATTAAAGCCCTTTCAAAAACCTACATTTTGGACTACATGGACGACTCTCTACTCCCAGTAGAAGCGGAGATATCGACGGATGAAGACTGGATATCGACGGAGAAAGGTTGGAAAACTTTAACCTTCGATATCTCCTAAACGGTTAGAGATACAGGCTTCGGACAGGTATCACATTAAAGCCCTTTCAAAACCCTACATTTTGGACTATATGGACGACCCTCTACTCCCAGTGGAAGCGGAGATATCGACGGATGAAGGCTGGATATCGACGGAGAAAGGTTGGAAAACTTTAGCCTTCGATATCTCCTAAACGGTTAGAGATACAGGCTTCGGACAGGTACCAAATTAAAGCCCTTTCAAACCCTACATTTTGCACTACATGGACGACTCTCTACTCCCAGTAGAAGCAGAGATATCGACGGAGAAAGGTTGGAAAACTTTAACCTTCGATATCTCCTAAACGGTTAGAGATACAGGCTTCGGACAGGTACCAAATTAAAGCCCTTTCAAAACCCTACATTTTGGACTACATGGACGACTCCCTACTCCCAGTAGAAGCGGAGATATCGACGGATGAAGACTGGATATCGACGGAGAAAGGTTGGAAAACTTTAACCTTCGATATCTCCTAAACGGTTAGAGATACAGGCTTCGTACAGGTACCAAATTAAAGCCCTTTCAAAACCCTACATTTTGGACTACATGGACGACTCCCTACTCCTAGTAGAAGCGGAGATATCGACGGATGAAGACTGGATATCGACGGAGAAAGGTTGGAAAACTTTAACCTTCGATATCTCCTAAACGGTTAGAGATACAGTCTTCGGACTGGTACCAAATTAAAGCCCTTTCAAAAACCCTACATTTTGGACTACATGGACGACTCTCTACTCCCAGTAGAAGCGGAGATATCGACGGATGAATGCTGGATATCAATGGAGAAAGGCTGGAAAACTTTAACCTTCGATATCTCCTAAACGGTTAGAGATACAGGCTTCGGACTGGTACCAAATTAAAGCCCTTTCAAAACCCTACATTTTGGACTACATGGACGACTCTCTACTCCCAGTGGAAGCGGAGATATCGACGGAGAATGGTTGGAAAACTTTAATCTTCGATATCTCCTAAACGGTTAGAGATACAGGCCTCGGTCTGGCACCAAATTAAATTCCTCTCAAAACCCTACATTTTCGACTACATGGACGACTCTCTACTCCCAGTAGAAGCGGAGAAATCAACGGAGAAAGGTTGGAAAACTTTAATCTTCGATATCTCTTAAACGGTTAGAGATACAGGCCTCTGTCTGGCACCAAATTAAAGTCCTCTCAAAACCCTACATTTTCGACTACATGGACGACTCTCTACTCCCAGTAGAAGCGGAGATATCGACGGAGGTAAGCTGGATATCGACGGAGAAAGGCTGGATAACTTTAACCTTTGATATCTCCTAAACGGCTAGAGAATTTGTTGAATAAGATTAGGGAGGTATGTACCTGAAAAATAAGAGCAAATTGTCATTGCACGTGTGCAATTTTTTGACACTGATTTGTGGTATTAATCGATATTGGATTTCCGGTACTGATTTACTCTTTCATTTCTCTATAAGAAAACGGAAAATTAATATGAATCGTTCATTAATCCGCGTTAATTTGATGAAAAAATTAGGTATTGATCGGTGTTCAGTTTTCGGTATTGATTTAGTCTCTCGTTTCTTTATAAGAAAAGAAAAATTGATACGGATCGTTCGTTTAACAGAGTCAATTTGTTGAGTTAGTTAGAGGGGTAAGTACCTGAAAAATAAGAACAAATTGTCATTGGACAAATTGCACTTGGACAATTTTCTGACACTGATTTATACTATTAATCAATATTCAATTTTCGATACTGATTTATTCTTTCATTGTACTATAAGAAGAAAAAAATTGATACGTATCGTTCATTTATCCGCGTTAATTTGCTGAATAAATTAAATATTGATCGTGAGGGAGGGAGAGGGAGAGGGATGGTGATAGGCGGTGGAAAGGCTGTTAGGATGGGGGAGGGAGAGGGGCTATGAGAGAGGAGGAGGAGTAGAGGAGGCGAGAGGGAGGATGAGGAAGATTAAAAGGATGAGAGAGAGAGAGCGAGGGAGAAAGTGTGAAGGAATGGATGAATGGAGGAAAGCGAAAATCGGCGGTAGGATATAAGAATTATAGAAGTAACAGCGGCGTAGAAATATAAATATATACATATACAGGGTGTTTGATAGCTCATCATGCAGACGAAAGTTGGAGATAGATTGGGTGTAGCCGAGAAGAAAAGTCATGTACCATAATGTCAAATTGGCAATAGTTATCGAGTTATTAATTAAAACATGTGAGCCAACGAGCGCGTAGAGAGCGGTGGGCGACCGCAGTAAGCACATAGACATTTGATACAGGCGGAGTCAGCGAGTGATGATAGGCGAGCGCGCGCGGCGAGGGGCAACGTAAACAACAAGAGGCGAACGCGCGCGACGAGGAGCGAGCGAGCACAAGCGACAAGAGGCGAGCGAGCGCGACGAAGAGCGAGCGAGCGCGAACGACGAGGAGCGAGCGAGCTATAAGAAAAAACCTATAAAGAAAAAGCTCGCTCGCTCCTCGTCGCGCGCGATCACCTTTTGTCGCTTATGTTGCCCCTCGCCGCGCGCGCTTGCCTACCGACACTCTCTGACTCCGCCTGTATCAAATGTCTACGTGCTTACTGCGGCCGCCCTTCGCTCTCTACGCGCTCGTTGGCTCACATGTTTTAATTAATAACTCGATAACTATTGCCAATTTGACATTATGGTACATGACTTTTCTTCTCGACTACACCCAATCTATCTCCAACTTTCGTCTGCATGATCAGCTATCAAACACCCTGTATATAAGAATAGATGATAAGCAAACAATTAATTATAAGAGATAAGCGAGCGAGTAGATATAAGATTTGTAAAGTATATTTAAGGAGAAGCGGGGTATGGGAGTGTGTGTGTATGTGTGTGTGTGCGAGGGGTTAGGGGCGATCGTAATAGGAAGTAAAGAAGGGAGATTATATTGGAATTTGTAACCCCGCCAGGGGAATCAATAAAGTATACATACAATTAAATATTGATCGGTCTTCAATTTTCGGTACTGATTTATTCTTTCATCAACCCAATCTACCCTCATATTTCGGGTTGGCAGCTAATTACCGGACACTTCGTATGATCTTCATGATATTAATTATACACAATGTCAATTCTTTTTTTTTTGCACATGTTAACGTGTTAATTCATGTTATAAATGCGTAACAATGAGCAAGACCGTGCTTGTCAAGTACGCTATTATGGTTGTAGCACGGACATAAACCGCCTAAAAATGATAGCATGGACTGCCACCACATACAGGTTTTACCGTCGAAACCTGAAAGTGGATCGTAGTTCCCCTCTCAAAATGGATACAGATGGCGACCTTTCCCAGTGCGGAAAGTCGGTGTCGTCGAAATCACCGTTGGTTTGTTCTTTTTAGCTGTACTGCGGAACTAGTGCAATAAGTTAGAATGAGACAACTACATTTTTTCTCACTTTAACTTATTGTACCAGTTCAGTAGTGCAGTTAAAAAGAACAGACCACATGTTGGCCGCTCTCACGCTCCTCTCTGGTAGCTGGTTGTAGTCTTTTGTTCGCCTCCGTGGTGATTGAATGTGGTTCCTGTAACTACACATATTTTTTGATTGTGAGGACTGCGTACGCGTTGTCATTGTTTTTATTTTACCTTCATAATCGTTAACTTCTCTAGAATATCCTTGTATCAACCAGAGGAATTGTCTTGCCAAAAAGCTAGAGAATGGCGTGTGGACGTACCTTAATTTGTCCGGAGCCATATATTGAACTGAACTGAAAAGAAATTGCTAAATTCTTGAGGAGTACATAAAGAATGCTGTAATGAATCTCTTGGAATAGTCATTGATTCCAAATACTTTATTCACGCAGATTACATAGGGTGTAGAGGTTGGCGTCAGCCTGGGGTTTTCCAGTGCACAGCCATTTATTGAATGAATAAATGATGAATGATTCGACTGTTGTTTGTATTCCAAGTGTCGAATAATAAAAAGACTGTGAACTTTCCATTGAACACGTTAATATGCTGAATAAAAATAAACTATTATTCTCTGCAAAATTTTAAACGTATAATTAGCGATGTGTGAGATATAACAAACACACAATTGGTTCCTGTGTAGCATCATGAAGAATAGAATATAAGAAACGTGCCTGGATTAACATTCAAATAGTGCGCAAGAACGAGCAAATAAACATTTGTAAACTATTATCTGTGAGAAAAGTAAGTAGGACATTTAGAGTATCCATTGGTGATAAATTTTGCATCATTATCAATAATACTTAAATTATGAAATAAAAATATCTTTGAAGAATGTTGTATTGTGTATAAATTTATTATGTATTAACATCTGCATTATATATTGATGGTTGCATCAGATGGCTGCACCAATGTCCACACAAATAGCTGCACCAGAAATAAAAATGGAACATTTGCTGGCTGCTCTAACAGCTATCAAGGTCCTTCGTTCTAGCGTGGGACAAGTGTTTGAATCTCTTGGAAATGGCTTGCGGGCAGAGCATGGGGAAGAGAACAAAGAGTCCAAGTATTTGTTTGAGTTGCAGGAATTGTTGACCACAGTGAATCTTAATCTAAGGTAAGGGTTAAAATTGAAATAATAAGTCTTAACGAGACAAGATTCATTGGTAAGCAATGTATTAACCTTTGTGAAAAATAATTAATATCCGAATATCTCACAGGGATGTAGAACAGATGGTGAACAGTTTGGGTACTCCACCAGGTCCATTTAATTTAGCTAACACAAGTTACCTCAGCCAAGAGACCACACAGGAAAGACAAGCACTCTATAGCACGCTTGTCAACAGCTACAAATGGACAGACAAGGTTCACGAGTATAGCAATATTGCACAGGCGTTGCTCAGCCAAAATTCTCTGAAGAGGTCTTATACAAGCTCGAGTAGAGCCAAGAGGGGAAGAATTCCAACTACTAATCATAATGTACCTCAACAGTAAGTTACCTTTGACCTTCTGTGAAGCATTCTATTGTTCCAAATAACTTTTAATGTACGCTTTTGAATAGGCAAGTTGATAACATGATATCAATGTTGGAACGGATGTTCAACGACTTGACAGTGACCGTCTCGCGTCCATCTGCATCCAATGCAGTTCTGCATGTCACCTTAGGGCAAGTGCTGCAGGCGGTGATAGCGTTTAAGGGTCTCATGATAGAGTGGGTTGTAGTGAAAGGCTTAGGCGAGACGATGGACCTATGGACAGAATCCAGATATAAAGTCTTCCGCAAAGTAACTGAAAACGCGAACGCCGCGATGTTACACTTTTATTCGCCTACATTGCCTGAGCTGGCGGTGCGGTCATTCATGGTAATCAATGATTCTTATCAGTGAATATTACCGAGTCCCTACCTATCGACTTGAGTCATTCATATCTAAATACTCAACATACACGACATTACCATCCGTCACGTTTCCTTGGTTTTATTTTCAGACGTGGTTTCATAGTTTGATCAATCTGTTCAGCGGGACTTGCAAACGTTGCGGCTTGCACTTGCACAGCGCTCTACCACCGACGTGGAGAGACTTTCGAACATTGGAACCATATCACCAGGAATGCAAGCCGTAAGACGTATCCAACGTTTTGCCAGCGTTTGAACTGCATAAGCGCCGAACCTCTGTATTGATGTTCCATCGCGACACTCGATGTTGTACATACCGGAAGAAACGAGAATAAGCTTATCAATAAAATATATTTCATTCTATCGCGTGTGGTGCAATCTCCTCGACCGGCGTCCCAGTTGTTCTTCCGTAGCTTCTCGCAGTCGCTTCAGGGATGACAAGAAGGTAAAGTAAAAACATTTTCACAGAGAATGTAAGGGCTTTTATAAAAAGAATTCGATTACATAACACTTAACAAATGCAACGCAGAACATTACGTCCTATTACGAGACGAAAATCGCGAAAGTACAGACAACACATCGATTTCCGAAAGAACGCCGAAGTCGCTGCCGATCGCGCTTGTAACAATGGAAAGCCGGATTTCCCGTTTTCTTTGTTCTTGACACCTTCGCGATCGTATCCCACCGGGTCCGCGTCGGTGACGACGGACGGACGGACGGTGACACTCGTTCGGGCTGACCTTACAATGAAAACTCACGGCTAATCACGGCTAAAAAAGTAAACACCCCCCCCCCCTCCCCGTATTTCTCTCAGACTGTGGTAGAAGCGGTGGTGGCGAGAAAGGAAAGAACCCGGAGAATCGAACTTGATTACATTCGTTTAGCGGAGAGAGAGAAAGAACTTATGATTATAGCGCTAATTTCTTCGGTTTTTGCTTTCTTTTCCTCGTGTTTTTTTTTCGTTTTCCGTTTCACCTTAATATCGTAATATACAAATGAGCGGGCTCGCAAACGTTTGTTTGTAACTCCTCCGGAATTAGCTCTGCGATCAATGACGTGTTCTCATTTTACGTGTTTTTTTTTTCTTTCTTTTCTCATGTTTGTCACCTATACCCTACGTATGTATACCACTCTTAAGTGTGTCGTTTACATGCTATTTAGTTTTACATAATGCTAATTATAGTATCATAGGTAAATATAATTACGTTATGAAGTACTTTTCACATAACTGTACACATTCACATCTTGGAATATTGGCGCTCACCTAAGGGGCGCAAGTCGTTTGAGTGGCAGTGAACTTATTTTACAAATCGTTATTGTTAAATCACTTAACTTTGCTGGACTGTTCGAAATTTTGCGGATTTCCTTCTTTTTCCCCTCGCGTTTCTACCCTTCTTCTCTCCTCCCCACCCCGTGTTTGTTTCTCCTCCCTCTTTCCTTTCTCTTAACGTTATTCTTTCTTTCCTCCTCGTCCGTAAGGCTCTATGAACTTCGTAATTTAACTCGACGAGTTTCTTTTCCTTTTTTTTTTTTCGTTTTCAATTCTGTTTTAAATACTGTGTCATTGACTGGAAATACCATTGATGAGACTCATTGCTTATCCTCTTATCAAAGTTGTGATGGAGTACGCGGAACACATTAGGTCCTCCGCGCTTTTAAAGGTAGCCATTTCACATATTATATGTATATATGTATATATGTATACGTTATTACAATTTTAGAAACGAATTATTCGTTATAGCGTTATATACGCGCGCACACGCGCGCGCGTGTATGTGTGTGTGTGTGTGTGTGTGTGTGTGTGTGTGTGTGTGTGTGTGTGTGTGTGTGTGTGTGTGTGTGTGTGTGTGTGTGTGTGTGTGTGTGTGTGTGTGTGAATATGTGTACATGCGTCTGTGTAATGTGCGTGTATGTGTGTGTGTGTGTCTCTCGATTACAGATAATTGAGTTCTTTCATGCGCGCGCGCGAGCATTGGGCGAGAGGCTGCCCGTCCCCTCGGAGACGCTCCTCGAAGAGACCTGTGAGGAAGGCGGGAGGGGCACGGAGAAACCTCTCGTTCGCTCGCTCACGTCTAGAGAGAGAGAGAGAGAGATCGCGGTAATTGATCGGTCACACGCCATCTGCACGGGGGGTAGAAATCGCCGCGTGCTAGCGCGGGGTGTGATGGTGCAATAGATATCGTTTCGCGGCGCGGTAATGATGGTCTTGTCTCTCTTTTTTTTGTGAACACATATCGCAGCATGCCTTTTCTCGGTGTGAGGTGTTGGTGGGTAAGTCGAAAGAGGGTTGTTTCACAGCACGATGAGTCTGATAGTTTCGTTACAGCTATTACATACCGCGTATTTGATACCGCGCGTCTTCGCCTAATCATCCGATACACCCAACGGATCTAGAGAGAGAGAGAGAGAGAGAGAGAGAGAGAGAGAGAGAGAGAGAGAGAGGAGGGGGGGAGATAGAGAAAAAAGAGAAACGAGTAAGAAGAGAGATAGAGAAAGATAGGGTGACAAAGAGAGGTGGGGAGGGAGAAAGAGAACAGTGCGACGTTCGAATTCGAGAGTCCTTATTTTGTTTTTCTTTTTAGGGAACAGAACCCCGGACTCTGCGTCTTGTGTGTTTTGTCAGCGAAAATATATATAATAATATATATATACATATTCGCGCGCGGTTCTTTGCGATTCTTCAAAATTCAAATGTAACGGCGACCGTTCAGTTCGTGATTATATTATACAGCCGTTGCACCGCAGGATATGTGTGTGTGTGTTGTGTGTGTGTGTGTGTGTGTATAACAGGGAGGGAGAGAATCAGAGACAGAAAGAAAGAACAAAGAAAAGAAACAGAAAGGAAGAAAGAAAGGGAGATAATTTTTATTCGCCCGTCCCGCGCGGTAAGAAGTCTCTTTCTAATTATATTAATTAGCTCATTTACGCCGCGCGTAACGCATAAGCTAATTAATATATATATATATATGTATATACTGTTTTTTTATTGTGAGCTATATAGCTATACAGGGTGTCCCGGGGGCACGCTGTATATAGATCTATATGTATATACGCCTAGCCTAGGTTTTTTCCTGCCTTTATCTCGATAATTAATAGTAATGTTGGATTTCTTCTGATAATACCGTGATGCAAGGAGAGCTCTACTTTAGCATATCTTCAGTTCTCAACAGCTTTATTGCCTTTCTCACTGAATCTGTATGTTTTGGACAACTTATAATTAAGAACATCCCCATCATCGGTCGCTCACTCGCGAATGATATCGTACGACGTTCCGCGCGCGCGCGCGCGATTCCCACTTAATTAATTTATTAATTAGTCCTGATGCCCTTGTCGCGTTCCTTCTCGCTCGTCCTCTCTATCCTAAATATTATATTGCGTTTACGCCGCAGCGAAGTAGCTCGAAATCGTGTCTGTACCGTAATAGCCGCTTGCCGTCCCGACGTTTCGCTCGCGTTCTCCTCGCAATTGTAGAGCCGGCTGCTACGAAAGAAGAAATCTCAGCCACGTGAAATTCGCCCCGTGAAATCGGGAATTCCGATCCTCGAAGCTGCCGCGTGCCGGCGGCGCGGCGGCGGCGGCAGTCTCGAAATTTGTGAAATCGGCCAGGAGCGCGATCGGTGGGTGCGGATGCAACGTAAAACAGAGAAGCCGCGGACGCGAATCTCCGCGAGTGCAGCGGCTCGTGCTCGACACGCGGTCGCGTCGCGAATGACCCCGGCAAACGCGACAGCGATGTGTTCACCGATGTGTCTTCAGCACGCGTCGGCTGCCCGCAATCATGCTCGTCGGCGAGGAAATCGCCGGCCCTCGATCGACGCGGATCTCCCGACCGAGGGAGGATCGAATTTTTTGGGTACTCGCGAAACGGAACGCTCCTCCGAGCTCGCGGGCTCAGAGGGCGCAGCCCTTTTTTCTCGTTCCTCCACTTCGCCCCCACCCCCGTCCGTCGATTGCGCTATTCTCCAGCGGGGAACGGAGTACGCTCTATTGCTACTTGTATAAGGGATTATTTTGCCATCTCTGTGCTGGGGTGTCTCAGCGCGCGCGACCACATCGTCTCTCGCCAGAAGTATACAAGTATATACACACGTATGTACAGAGGAAAAGAGAGCGCGTGGGATCGTCCCCCCCCCCCCTCGGAGGCCCGGAGTGTCGAGTCGCGTGCACTTTTCCGTTTCGAGAGGATCGATCACGGCAGGGAGAAAGATCAATGACGGAGTAAGAAAAGGCATGCCTCCGCGACCCGAGCGACCCTCGCCGGCTGGGGCTGCTCTGCTTTTCGACCTTGCGACAGAGAGAGACGTTGCGTCGAGGAGACGCGCGACTCGCCGCGCGTGCTGTCGAAGCGGAAACGCCGGCTCCCTCAGTCGCGCTGTTCTCGACCAATCGCCAATCGACGTGCACACAAGCCGAGAAGCTTCGCGCTTTCCCGAAGAGACTCCTGAACTCGGTGCACACTTCTGCGCTCGCAGTCGGAGCGAGACGAGTGTTGTATCTCGCTCCGGCGTAACCTGTTGCGTCGATGTGCGCCACTTCGGCGAGTTTGTCGGAAAAGCGCAGACTTTCAGCGCAGAACTGAGCGGAAAAGTCGGAAGCTTCCATGTTGAAGACCGGAGACTCGCGATTCGCGTTTTCTGTGCATTTTTGCGCTTCGATGCTTTCACGCTTCTTCTTCCTCTTCTTCCTCTTCTTCTCTCTCTCTCTCTCTCTCTCTCTCTCTCTCTCTCTCTCTCTCTCTCTCTCTCTCTCTCTCTCTCTCTCTCTCTCTCTTTCTCTCTCTTACTTTATCTCTTTCTCCCCTTTCTCTCTCTGTCTCTGTCTCCTCTCCTGTGTTGCTCTAGAAGAATGAATTCTAAAATATATCGCAAGAGAATATCTCCGAGTCATGAATAATCGAGAAATCGACGCATCCACTCGACCGAAACGCAAAGTATGTAGCGTGTACTCTCTCTCTCTCTCTCTCTTCTCTCTCTCTCCTCTCTCTCTCTCTCCTCCCTCTCTCTCTCTCTCTCTCTCTCCTCTCTCTCTCTCTCTCTCTCTCTCTCTCTCTCTCCTTCTCCTCTCTCTCTCTCTTCCTCTCTCTCTCTCTTCTCTCTCTCTCCTCTCTCTCTCTCTCTCTCTTCCTCTTCTCTCTCCTCTTCTCTCTCCTCTTCTCTCTCTCTCTCTCTCTCTCTCTCTCTCTCTCTCTCTCTTCTCTCTCTCTCTCTCTCTCTCTCTCTCTCTCTCTCTCTCTCCTCTCTCTTCTCTCTCTCTCTCTCTCTCTCTCTCTCTCTTCTCTCTCTCTTCTGCGTGTATTTGTAAGATCAATATATATAGTTGATCTTTTTTTGGTTCGTGAATATACTGCGGTCGACAGGCCCGTA